GGTTCTAGGTTCCATTCCAGGCTCTGGGACTCTGCTTGAAAAATCATCAACTGACAGAAGAGAGACCTCCCTATGGGCCTGATTCTGCAGAGCTCTGAGCACCTTTTAACTCAAGGGCCTCAGGGCCTCCCATGACCAGGCCCATGCTGGGCAAAACCAAACATCATCTGCTACAAACCAGGCACAGTTATGTCCCCCTAAATCTACCCAAAGCCACTTTTGCCTGTGCTGCCCAAACAAAGCTGCCTGCTGGGGTTATCTGCCCTGCGTGGAAATGTACCATCTTCTCCCCCCAGGTCTGGTAAAGCAATCGCTGGTCATTTCTACTGTGAATGTTTGCATGCTAACAGCATGCTTGGTGCTGTACATATTCAGAAGAAGACCTGGCCACAGCTTCCAGGTGCTTGCAGTTGAATTCACACACTGTGCATACAGATCTGACCCAGCCAGCGATGCCCAGAGATAACTGCAGGCCTCATTTGCAAGGGGGCTGAAGCACCTCCTGCTCCCTTTGACATCAGCACTTCTGAGAGGTAGGCTCCATTTTCTGGAGGTGCAAGGGGGGGTCCGAGGTATGGAGTTAAAAGGCATCGCACACCCTGCTCCAGAGCTAGAGCTCCCTGCTGTACGTATATAACAGCATCCATCATTTAAACACCACTATCCCAGCTCCTTGGTTATTGTAACTGCTTAGAGCAGTTGTTTCCTTTACCCAGTCTTTAAAACTTCCTCACCCACCCTGAGCTGCTTTGGAGACAGCCCCAGTTGTGCCTGGCAGAGAAAAGGAAAATCATTGATCTGATTTTGGAAGCTGCCCGTTGAGGCCAAGTGCATGCGAAGCACAGACATACCAGCAAGTGTGATCCAACCTGAGCACCCCACAAACAGAACTATTGTGTATCCCTTCTGTAGCAACATCGAGAAGCCACCCATAATGGACCCTTTCGGTGGAGCCAACTCATGCCCTTTACTGACTGGCAGTGAGAGCTGACCCGTGTGTCTCACCCACTTAACGGTACCAGAACTAACCCCTGGTTGCCCCCACCCAGTGAAATCCGGAATTGGTTTATTGGGAACCTGTTGGCCAGTGGTGGCCAAAATTGCCTCATTCTTTCGCCTCTGCCCTGTGTTCCTGACAGTAATTCTGAGCTGCCTGAGAACAGTGGATGATACAGAAAACTTCCTCTGCTGTCTGCCACAAGGGACAAGCTCACTGTTTTCTGCCAATCCCATCCTTTCCCCCTGTGGGGTTGGCTTCCCTGCTTCCAGGTAGCAGGCCCCATGTGCCCTGACCTGTAAGCCCTCTACACTGGGCCCTGGATTTTCAGCTGACCACACATGTTATGGAAGCAATGGCAGGAAATGAAGCTGGAACCATTGCTGCCACCTGCGTTGCAGAGAACTTTGCAGAGCAGAGAGGAGAGCAGGAGTTCTGCTGTTCAAATCTCCGAGTCTCTATTTGGAGCACACCTAGCGAATGGCCAGGCATAGCACTGCAAGGCGGAGGGGCCTTTCATGGGATTGTTGCCTCTGAATTAGTGAAAGGTTCATAGCGGTATCAGAAATTAGATGAGTTTCCCTTGGTCCAAACTAGAGATCTGAGATGTATTGGGCTGTAGCATGGCCTCTCTTGGACAGCTGGACAAGGCATTAGAAAACGGCCTGTTACCCGCACACATTCCTTTATCCCTTCCACACTGTAGGGACATACACCTTTATCCAGTTCCTAGGGCTCAAGGTGCAACCCTATTAATTTATACACCCACCCTTACCCAATTCCTAGGGCTCAGGGTTGGCAGGATCTTTAGCCACTTGAAAGAGCCTCACACAGTAATATCCTTATACTGTATTTATTGACAAATCCCAAACAAGCAGAATACACATGCTAAGCACACAGTGTCATGCTCACCAATCCTGACACAGGTAGGGAGACTTCCTCTGTTGGACAGGCAATATCAGTCTCTCTGGTCTTAGGCTGTGTCTCAGAGGTGAGTTCTTCTTTCCAGGTCTTCTCCCTCCTCCTGGTCCTCTTTCAGCCTCCTCTTCCTTCTGTTACTCCTGATGATCTTCTTCTCTTCTCCTTCTTGAACCCCAGCTTATATAATGAAACCTGAGTCTTGCTTAGCTATACCTTAACCAATTATTTTAGTATAATTTTACTAACCAATCATAACAAAATTACCTAACCAATCATACCCCGCCACCTTAATTGATTTACACCTAGCAAAATTAATTATCCAGCAGACAGAAACGGTTACAAACCAGACAGAGATCACACAGTCAAACAATAGGAAAGTGTAGTGACAGTGCTCATAGGACGAGGATTCCACAACATCCTCTATGGATAAGCAGCTTCTTGCCAGACAGAACGGTGCTACGCACACATTTCTTTACCCATCTTGAGATCTGTTTCTTTATCTGGTGACAGTGGGGGCCAGAGAGAGGGGCCCGGACCAAGACCCAGGCCAGTAGAAGGGGGCTGCAACACCCCGTCAGGGGCGTACCCCCTGACAGGGTGCAAGAACATATATTGAGAACCAAAGGGGTGAAGGCTCCAGTAAGGTTAAGAACCACTGCCTTAACCAATTATTTTACTAACCAATCATAACAAAATGACCTAACCAATCATAGCCCACCACCTTAATTGATTTACACCTAGCAAAATTAATTATACAACAGACAGAAACAGTTACAAACCAGACAGAGATCACACAGTCAAACAATAGGAAAGCGTAATGACAATGATCATAGAATGAGGATTCCACAATCTCGTGACCTCAGGTTCTGGCCAGACAGAATGGTGTTCCTTCAGTTTTCTTTACCCATCTTGAGATCTGTTTCTTTATCTGGTGGCAGTGGGGGAGCTATCCGGACACAATCCCCTTCTCAGAACCTGGTGTGACACTATTTGAATACAATTTAGATGGAATGTGAGTATGTGGCTCTAGGGCCTTACAGTAATGGTTGCTACTCTTCAGTCTGGCTGCAGAAGGTGGCTTTGGTTCAGGCCTAGCACAGACCTTCCAACATGGCTACAGAAAGGCCATATAGCCGCTCCCCAACTTATGGCCACCTCCACTAACGACCAAACGCACTTACGACCAAAGTGGTCGTAAATGCGGATCCGAGTTACGAATGGCGATCCGCGCTTACAAACAGCGCGGTCGCCATGTAACTCTATGGGATCCGAGTTACGAACAGTTTGAGTTACGGACCAAGTCTTGGTCCGTAACTCGTTCGTAACTCGGAGAGCGGCCATACTGTTACAGGCCTATAGGGCAGAACCCATGAGAAGGACCGGATGAGCAACACACCAGCTGACTGGAGTCTCTGCGTGTGTCTACACTGCAGTGTAAGCCCAGAGTTTGTGCAACCTGAGGTAGCCCCTTCTGGTTTTGTTCACCAAGTTCTTAAACATCTAAACACTTCCTGGTAACCCCTGGTTAGGACTTGTTGAATCCTGGGTCCCAAATGGAATGCTAGTGTCTACTCTGATTTATGTGAGCCCAAAATAAGGCCATTCTGGCCCTTTGCTCATGGTGTAACATGGGAAAACTTGATTGTCCAAGAGACAAAGAAAGTCGGCCAGTTGGACTGTGGAATACTTTTGGCAGGCTCCCAGAGCATCTGCCAAGTGCAGCTGCATCTTCACTGTACAGCAATAAGGCTTGAACTCTGGGTCCTGCCTTGCCTAAAGCTCAGAGCCTCCACCCCCATGGTGTCTGGGGACCCTAGGTCAGTGTGATTTGTGTGTACAGGGAAGGGGGTTAGGCTAGCATCTGAGTTTGAACCTGGCCTTACATTGTAATGTAGACACATCCCACAACTCTCTGACCAGCTGGTTTTGAGAAAACCTTTGTCCTTTGGTTTTGCTCAAATTTGAACATCGGGCAGTGTTTGCTGAGAAATACCCCACACCAGGCCCATTATATAGAAAGACAGGTGAAATTCAGGGGCTTTGATCTGCCTCCTGTCCCATGGAGTCCCACAGAGCTGAAGGGTCGGTCACTGGGTATCCACGTAAGGCCCAATGCAGACACTGCTTGGAATGTATTTCATGCTCTCAGAGAAGACGGGGAACTTTATACCTCATGCTTTGTGATGGATGCCAGGAAACATTTTCAACCTATGAGGGTGATAAGGCATCAGGAGAGGCAATAAAGGAGGTGGCTGAAGCAGAAACATCAGGAGAGACGGTGCCAATATAAAAATAATACTTTGCTTGTCTATAGTGTCATCCATTTGAGAATCTCAAGGCAACTTCCACACACTAGTGAGTTTGGTCTCACAGCTGCCCTGGTCTGTGTCACTGTCACACCCATTCAACAGATGAAACACTCGAGGCCCAGAGCAGGAAGTGATGCACTTGCTGCCCCCTGGTGTATCCATGGCAGAACTGAGGACAGGCCTCCTGATGCCTATCCCTGGGGGTTAGCTACAAGGCTGCTGCTCTTCTCCGAATGAGTGTGATCACAAGTGGGAATGGTGTAGGAAGTGCCCTGCATAATACAGGGACCTAAAGGTCTTTCCTGGACCAGCTTTCTTGGATTCTAAGGTGGCTTTCCTGAATATACGTCATGGTTAAATGCTTCCCTTTGATTCTGCAGGGGATGAGTCACTCATTCCTGCGCTGGCTTGTAGCCTCGTGACATATATTGTCGGCCTATTTTTTTCCTCACCCAGGTGTGGGATGAGAGACTAGCCAAGTCTGCTGAAGCCTGGGCCGCACAGTGCATATGGGACCATGGGCCACCACAGCTGATGAAATACATTGGCCAGAACCTCTCCATCTACTCTGGCAGGTGAGTGATCATGCACGCAGCATCACATGTGGTCAAAGTCCTCGTTCTTTGCAGACACCGGGAGAACTGGGGAGTCTGAGTAGAACCCTGCCTGGAACAAAATTTGAGCTTGTTCGACGGAGGTCAGTACTAGCAGCTTCATTCCTGGGTGCCTAATGGTGACCCCTAGTTCATGCTCAGAAGCTCCTGGCTCCCCATGTCAACAAAATGAAAGCAAGCAACAGGACTTTGGGCGGGGGGGTGCTGCTCAAGCGGGCAAGGGGCAAGCCCAAGACCGACAAAATGATTCTGGGCCAGGTTCATTGTTGGTCTGAGGATGTGGTTCAACAGGCTTATCACCTGAGGCTTCATCTACACTGCTGGTTTTGCTGGCAGTGAGTATGCAAATGAGGTGCAGATTAGCATATCACCATATCTCATTTGCATAATTCATGCACGCTGTTTTTGTGCAAAGGTTTTTGTGGAAATAAAAGTAGTGTAAAAAAAATTCCGCACTATTTTTTTCCTACAAAAACCCTGTGCATAAATTATGCAAATGAAGCACCGTGATATGCTAATCCATGCCTCATTTGCATACTCAGGCCAGAAAAAATGGCAGTGTAGACATAGCCTGGTGGGCCATTGTTATATTTACCTGCATCTCCACAGGTAGAAGCTGAACCCCTAGCACTTGTTTGCATTGGTGTGACTCTGATTCCCAGCTCAGAGCAGGGGAGGGCAATAATTGCGGCAGTTCACCAGGGTTCCTAGAATCATAGAATCCTAGGGCTGGAAGAGCCCTTAAGAGGTCATCGAATCCAGCCCTCTGCTCAAAGCAGGGCCAATCCCAACTAAACCATCCCAGCCAGGGCTTTGTCAAGCCGAGACTTAAAAACCTCTAGGGATGAACATTCCACCACCTCCCCAGGGAACCCATCCCAGTGCTTCACCACCCACCTAGTGAAATAATTTTTCCTAATATCCAACCTAGACCTCCCCCACTGTAACTTGAGGCCATTGCTCCTTGTTCTATCATCCGTCACTACTGAGAACAGCCTCTTTGGAACATCCTCTCCATCCCCCATCCATCCTCTTTGGAACATCCCTTCAGAAAGTTGAAGGCTGCTATCAAATCCCCCCTCCTTCTTCTCTTTTGCAGATTAAATAAGCCCAAATCCCTCAGTCTCTCCTCATAGGTCATGGGCTCCAGCCCCCTAATCATTTTGGTTGCCCTCCGTTCGACCCTCTCCAATGCATCCACATCCTTTCTATAGTGAGGGCCCAGAACAGGACACAATACTCCAGATGTGGCCTCACCAGTGCTGAATAAAGGGGAATAATCACTTCTCTGGATCTGCTGGAAATGTTCCTTCTAATGCAACCTAATATGCCATTAGACTTCTTGGCTACAAGGGCACACTGTTGACTCATATCCAGCTTCTCATCCACTGTAATCCCAAGGTCTTTTTCTGCCAAACTGCTACTTAGCCTGTCAGCCCCCAGTTTGTAACAGTGCTTGGGATTCTTGGGATTCTGGAATTCTGCCACTGCTTTATTTACCTGCGCTTCTGCAGATGTGGGTACTTGCAGCTCCTGTTGGCTGTGGATCACCATTCCCAGCCAAAGGAAGCTGCAGGAAGTGGCATGGATGGGGACACCATTTCTCATAGTTCCAATTGGCTGGGAACAGTGATCTGCAGCCAAGAAGAGCAGCAAGCACCCTTGCCTGTGGAGGCGCAGGTAAATATAGCAGCGGCGGCCCGCCAGGGACTAAGCCTGTTGAACCACATCTGGCCAACAGGCCAATTGTTGTCCATCACTGGATTAGAGAAAAGGCTCCATATTTGTTTGGGGAGGAGCGTGACTTACCATGGAATGAACGGTGAAGGGCATGTCTCAGCTTGCTCTGCAGCGCTTGAGCTGCTCAGCTTTCAGTAGCAGGAACTGACAATTAATATGCAGAGAAACTCACTGGCACAGACCCGTGTTCCTGCTGGCCTTCGTGAAGAGATTTGTATCTAGAGTTACTGCAGGATGCCATTGGACTATGGGAGCAGGGGATGGGCCATGAAAGAGAAAAGCTCTTGTTCAAAAACACAGCACTTTGGACAAGTTAGCTAACTAGGCAAGAAAAGGAGACAAAGCCATCTGAGGCTACATCTAGACTGCAAGCCTCTTTTGAAAAAGAACGTCTAGACTACAACCAGTACTTTTGAAAAAGCAAGCCGCTTTTTTGAAAAAGAGCACCCAGGCAGTCTGGATGCTCTCTTTCGAAAAAGCAAGTTTGCATTACAGAGCGCCTTTTTTCAAAAGAGCACTTTCGAAAAAAGGCGTTCTGCCTCGTAAAATGAGGTTTTCCGCAGTCAAAAAAACTGCCATGCTGTTTCAATTTACTCTCAAAAGAACACGGCAGCAGTCTAGACACAGAGGCAGTTTTTTTAAAAAAAAGGCCCCCTTTTTTAAAAAAAACCCTGTAGTCTAGACACACCCTGAGAGAAATGAATCAAGATTTGAGTTGGATCACTTGGGATGTTTTCTCTTTCCTGGAAAAAGTCTCCCTTTTTCTTGCACTGACAACACACAGGGGCTTTAATGGGATAAGAATGCAGCCAGAGAGGGCCAGATTTTTGGAGTCTCTGTTGTACATGCCCCAGGTATTCACGCACACAGCTCACAATGCAGGAGAGCAACATTATGCTGCCCCAGAGTCCTTAACACCTGGAGAGACCCAGGGGAAACTTTGACTCACATTTCATTTTCATACCCCTCTTGCTCTGTTCCCCATTTTGCTCATTATGGCACAAACAGGCCTCCTCCACTCTCTGATATCCCTTCTCAGCTGCCTGGGAACTCAGTTCCACTCTCGGTCCTGAGGGAGCCAGACGGGCACCTGCTCCAACACAGCTGAGGCAAAGTTCCTCTCTAGGAAACAGAGATATGAAGGCGCCTTGGGGCAAGTCTCTGCCAGGCCTGGTCTGGCCAGGTTCCTCTGGGTTTGCTTCTTATCCCTGGATATCATGGAGGAATAATGGGAATAATGTGTGTGATCTTCCACAGGTACCGGTCAGTCGTGGATCTAGTGAAATCCTGGTATTACGAGAAGCAGCATTACTCCTTCCCCTACCCTCGTGAATGCAATCCCAGGTGCCCCTCCAAATGCAGTGGTTCTGTCTGCAGCCATTACACCCAGGTACGAAGCCAGAGTTGCTTGCGGCAGGACGGCGCTATTGTTAAGTATTCTGACAAGCCCAAACCAGGAGCCAGATCAGTGAGGGGCAACCTAGGATAGTGAGCGGGCACATGAATGGCCCTCCTTCATCTCTCAGCAGGCTGCAAGACTGTTGTAACCAAGAGGGTCTCCCGGGATAGGGTAGCTTTGCTAACTGAGCTTGAGCACCTAGACTTGGTGGGTTGTGCCGATCGAACTGTAGCAGTGCTTTGATTGGCCGCAGAGGGCTCTCATAGTCAATATTGTGTGCAACCCGCTTGCAGCTCACTTCACGTGCCCTTGCTTCATGTGCGTGTCACTTTTGTAACGCTGGTAGGGAAAAAAACGAGGTGGACGAAAACCAGCAGAAGCTGGCAACCTTGTGCATGGGCAACGGTAAACAAAACGTGCCTGGATCAGAATGCTTTCCCAGGGTCAGAGAGGGGGAAGTTCTGTGCTGTTCTTTTTCCTGTTGGTGGGACAGAATGCCCTGCCACCCTGTGCTTGTCCAGCACCCGGCATAGTGGGATCCTGGCCTATGAGGAGGGCTCCTTATAGCGACGGCAACAAAACTCACAAATAAGAATCATTCTAAATGTGGAAACTCAGGGGATACAGACTTTTCAGGGGGGTCAGAGGAGAAGATGCAAAACTTCTCCTGAGTCTGATGCAGAGGCACAAGCTGACAAAAATGCACTGCAATTTAGCAAAAAATCCCAGCAGGCTTCCCAAGAAGCCAGCCCTTCTGACAGACCCAGGGTTGTGCCTTGTGGCAGAGGATGGGAGGCCTGGGGGAGGCAGACCCAGGCACTGAGCCCTCAGTAGCGCACCTGGATTGGGACTCAGTACACATCAGGGGCATTATCTTGCTACCTTAGGAGGCGAGTTATATAGGACCATGGTGCCCCTGCTCCAGCAATGTTTGGGCTTATATTTTCAGGCCCCACACTTTGGGGAGGCCCTGTGCTTCAGGGGAATATGGGGTCCAGGGTGGCCTGGTGGTTAGGGGAACTGGGGGCTGGCAGCAGCCTGCCCCACTCCACCCTGCCCACACCCACTCCACCCTTTCTCCAAGCCCTGCCCCCACCATTCTGGCTTCCAACCCTCCCCCAAGCAATACTGGGCTGGGGGCAGGTCACTTACTGCTGCCCATGCCAGGTCCCCTCTAACCCTGATGGCCACCCTGGACTCCGCATCCCACTGAAGCCTGGGGCCCCCAAAGCACAAAGCCAGGGTGGTTGTCCTCATCCATCCTATAGATGGGTTGGCTCTGCTTGGACCCTTCTTGGGCACCACCAGAAACTATACAATCCTGACACCCATGCTTGCCACTGCAGCTCCTTAGGGCAATGAGCCATCCCACTCAAAGACCCCAGCAGCGAGGCCCTTGATCTGTCCCTTGCCAACATTCATTGTAAACAAGCACATTAAGAAGCACCACCCAAACACGAGCTCTTTTCCTAGCAGCAGTAGCTGCATTTTCCATCGCTCCCTCTGCAGGGGGAGGGGAGCAATGTTTTCTGTTGTGGCTGAGCTAGTGGAAGGTGGATGAATGATTCTGGGAGGCTGTATGACTTAAAGCACAGAGATGAGGCCAAAGGAAGGCAGGAGTTAGCATTCCTGATTAGGAATGTAATAGTGTAGTCGATTAACCGATAAGAAAAGCTTATAGATTAATGCTATAGACTATACGCATTCCCCCCCATCCCTTGCCAGTAAATGTTTTAGCAGGCAGGTTCAGTCCTGGCTTGCACTGGGTCCAGGAGCTACCCCTGCTGCGGCTCTCCATTTAAAGGCAGCCCCGCTCAGTTCCAGCTCGCACCAGCTCCAGGAGTTCAGACCCAGCTCTGGACATGGGGCTGTTGCCACCCCACGTTGCTGCCTCTGTATCAGAGGCAGCAGTGCAGCATGACAGGCAGCCAGTCCACAAGGGGAGTTGGTTTTTAAACTGGCTTCCCTCATGGCACCCTGCGCTGCTGCCTCTGATATAGAGGCAACAGCCTGGAGTGTCAGAGGACTCCCTGGGAGTGGGGCCAAAGCGTACCAGCTGCTGGCCCTGCCCCCGGGGACTATAGAATAGTCAAGTAACAGAATTAATAAGGTTAATTGACTATTCAATTAACCGATACTTAACTTCCCTATTCCTGATAGGCTGCCGGCCCTCGGCAGTATCCATCGTCTTGGGATACCTTGTAGAGCACTTGCCAGCACAGAAAGGCAGCTATTCACAGAGCTGTACACTCAGAGCTGCTGCCCTGTAGCACACACACTGCTTTTCAGTGGATCCGTTTGCTTACATCAAAGAGCTGCGGGGAGGTTTCTCTCCACGTTCTGGAGCACAGCTGCAAGACTTTGGCCAATGGGCACGAATTCTTCTCCTTTATTCAAAATCGCTAAATACGGGGGGAAGCCCTTTCCTACCTTGCTAATCATAAATTAGCTTTTTCATAACAGAGCGGCTATTTAGTGTACAGAAATGTCTGGCTGCTCATTAAATACGGCCCCTTCATCCCCCAGGGCAATCCAGGAGGAGTGCCGCCAGCACAAACTTTTACTTTCCGTGGTTTGTGGCAAAGCATTTCTATCCTTTAATTAACAGTGTGCTGCCTGGCTCCACTGCTCTGCTTGGCCCCCGGCAATGCCCCTGCCGGTATTTACACGGGTGTCTGCCGCTTACATAGACTGCATCCCCTTTCCTCCTGTCTGAGAGCTTCAATGCGGCTTAGTCCCACTGCTGCTGTTATTGTTGTGACCTTGTACTGTCTGGAGCAGGGGCTTTAGGGAATCAGGGAGTGAACGAGAGACGTAACAACTGCTTTCGTGAAGAGTTCTGCTCAGTGATCTGAACAAGTTGGATAGTCTGCCTGGGTCTGACCGGTGCACAACATGCTCCCACAAGGCTCTCCCCGCAGGGTGCATGTTCGAAAGGGCTGAGGGGGCTAGTCTCCCTGTGGTAGGTACAATCCCAGGATGTGGGCCTTACCGAGTCCTTGCGCCTCTGTTTGGGCTGGACCTGTAAACAAGGGAGTAAATACTCCAATTTGAACAGCTCATTTCAACCTAAGGCCTGACAAGGCAGGTATCAATTTTGCAGGCATAAATTGTGCCTCAGAAGGGAAGTTACTTTGCTGGAAGATTGGTTCTGCCATCAGTCAGCAAAGCTCAAAGCCGACTCAGCAACAGGCACCCGCTCAGTCAATCAGGTGGGGGTGTTTTTAGAGTTTGGGTGTATTTATCTGGAAAGAGAGTTGTCTGAATAGAAGAAACAGAGGCCCATTTGCCTCTGCTTGGCAGGCTCTAGGGTTCTTCACCCTGATTCTTCTGCTTTGATGTAGGCCACCCCGTCCTTATAGCTACTGTTTGACTGTCTCTGATGCAGATGGTGTGGGCCTCCTCCAACAGAATCGGCTGTGCCATCAACACCTGCACTAACATGAAAGTGTGGGGCAGCACATGGCGGCAGGCAGTGTACTTAGTGTGCAACTACGCCATCAAGTAAGTGAGCTAAGGCAGCCACTCTGAAACGGTGGGTCGGGACCCCAAAAGCAGGTCTCAACCCCCTTTGAATGGGCTCACCGAAGTTGGTGTAGACTTGCTGGGGCCCAGGGATGAAGCCAAAGGCCAAGGGCTTCGGACGTGGGTGGCAGGACTCAGGCCTGAAGCCTAAGCCCTCCCCCTCTCCACTTGGAGCAGCAGGGCTTAGGTGGGTTCAGGCTTCAGTCCCCTCTCCTGGGGTCACGCAGGGATTGTTGTTGTCAGAACCAGGTGGCTGCCTTTCCGCTCCCAACACACCCACCTGATTTTGCCGTTTACGGAATGATCTTGACCAATGGGCCAAGTTCCATCTCAGCCTGCTCTTGGTTTGCCTGAGGGACTCCTGACAGAAGGGGAGGCATAATGGAAGCTGCGAACTCCCTCAGCCTTACCTGCACGCTCACACCCACAGCGCCCTACTGCATTTGGGACAGTCTGGCTCGGGAGCAATGGAGTTGAACCAGCCCAAGCAGGAAACAGCGTAACTCATGCCCTGTTGCTCTCAGCCTTTGCTCAGTCGGGCTCTCCTTTGGTGCGTGGATAGCCCTAGAGGGGTTTTCTTTTGCCTCCAAGGGGCTTAGCAAGCACAGTGCATATAGAGTTCCTCTGGGGGAGGCCAGAGCTGCAAGCATTGGCCAGGACTCAGAACTCTCTTGCTGATCAGACTCAAGTAATTCTTCCCCTACACAGCTGCCGCTCCCTAGGCCCCTAGGGGTGGCTGAATATGAGCCATGCTACACTAGTATGCTGCTGGATAGAGGAGGTATCATAGCAATTTGAGCATGAGTTAGGGTGCATCCACACTACAGAGCTTAACTTGAAATAAGCTATGCAAATTGAGCTATATCAATTGCGTATCTTATTTCGAAATAGCTTATTTTGAAATAGGAAGCGTCTACACGGCACTTATTTTGAAATAGAGCACCCTTCTTCCCACTTCCTTTGTTCCTTGTACAATGAGGGTTACAGGAGTCGGAGTAAGAAGTCCTCCAGCTTGACAGTATTCCAACAGCATTTCGAAATAACTGCCTGCTGTGTAGACATGGACTCCGTTATTTCGAAATAATGTTGCTGTGTAGACGTTCTTAGACATGTGTGTCCAGCTTCACCTGACACCAGTGATCCAGGGTTTAAACACCTTCACTCCCTCATGTCTGTAAGTAGGTGCACACTCACACTGTTGCATGTGCAACCCACACACCTTCTGAGGTGATTCACGGTCCCGTAGAGTGGCACTTAGACCACTTACAGAGAAAGAAAGAATGAGCGTGCTCTACAGCCTTAGCTGAGAGGCAGCTGGCTTTTAGCTGAACTGGTGGAGGCTCGTGCACTAAGCCCCAGAGGTCCCAGGTTCAGTTCTGCCTGTTGGCGTATCACATGCATGCAGGTACACACACAAAGAGGCATGCCCACCAGATAGCATTCTCACAGGGCATCGTGATGCTTGCTTATGACCAGGGCTCGGAGAGCCCTGCTCGCCAGCCATGCTGTCCAGCATTCTGCGCATGCAGAGATCGCCCGAACCCGGCTCTTCCGGGATATAATCTACTCGCCACAGGCAAGCAGATTACATAGATTGTCAAACCCTGCTTATAACTCTTATTACAGAGACAGCCAAGACACTGCATCATTCAGGCTTTAGTCCTTCCTCGTCCTCTCCCATCAAGCACTCTCGGAAAAGGGAATTTCTAGACATTACCCTACAGATAAGCATCCGATCAAATTATAGTGCCCCCAGCTGGGAAACTATCCTCACAAGCACTGTTTACAGTCACTGGTTTTGTTGTACAGACTAGGGGCATAGCCTTAGGCTACGTCTACACTGCAGGTTTCTTGCACAAGAAGCTTTTTGCGGAAGAGATCTTCCGCAAAACTTCTTGTACAACAGCGCATCCACACTACAAAAGTGCATCACAAAAGCAATGCACTTTTGTGCAAGGGAGAGTCCAGACTGCATGAACGCTCTCTCAAAAGAAAGCTCTGATTGCTATTCACAGAATAGCCACCAAAGCACCTGTGCTTTTGTTGATTGGCTCTTTTTGTGCAAAAAACCCCTGTTGCCTGTCCACAAACACCTTTTTGCACAAGCACTCTTGCACAAAAAGGAGTTATTCCTTGTAGAAAGGGGAATACCTACACCACAAAAACCCCTCTATTTTTTTGATTTACTGTAAATTTACTTGCGTAAAAATGAGCTTGAGGTATGGATGCTCCACAGGTTTTTGCACAAAAATGGCCAGTTTTGCACAAAAACCCTGTCATGTAGACATAACCTTAATGGGTAGTTCTAGACTTCTTTTGCTTCCAAAGTATAGACCTCGCCCATGTGAAGCAAAGAAATCTCTCTGGGCTGGAACTGTGTTACAGTGCATCATTAGCGCACGTCTAAACAGCAGGGCTAAAGTTGAATTAAGCTACGCCACTTCAGCAATGTCAATTGAATAGCTTAAGTCAAAATAGCTTAATTCGGCTTTTGGCTCGGTCTATACAGCAATAAGTCAAAGGAAGAGCACTCTTCCTTCAGCTTCCCTTACTCCTTGTAAAATGAGGGTTACAGGAGTCGGAGTAAGAAGTCCTCCCGCGTGACTTCAAAATAAGGGCTTGTAGTGTAGACACGCACTATCTTCTTTCAAAATAGAATCATAGAATCATAGGACTGGAAGGGATAATATCAGTTATTCTGAAATAGCGCTGCTGTGTAGACATACCCTTAGGCTATGTCTACACTGGCGTGATCTTGCGCCAGGGCTATGCAAATGAGGCTAAGCGTGGAATATCGCCGAGCCTCATTTGCATATATAATGAGCCGCCATTTTGCGGAAGAGGCTCTTGCGCAAGAAAGATCTGTCTACACTGCCCCTTTTTGCGCAAGAAAAACCCTCTTGCACAATGCCGCTATGCTGATTATTTTTGGGAATAGCGGCATTGCGCAAGAGGGTTTTTATTGCGCAAGAAGGAGCAGTGTAGACAGTGTAGACAGGAGCAGTGTAGCCTTCTTGCGCAAGAGCCTCTTCTGCAAAATGGCGGCTCATTATATATGCAAACGAGGCTCGGCGTTATTCCACGCTTAGCCTCATTTGCATAGCTCTGGCGCAAGTTCACGCCAGTGTAGACATAGCCATAGTGTGCAGGGTTAGAGGGCAACTGGATCAGCAACTTTTGAACAGGTGTGAGTCTATGCAGTAGGGAACAGTGTGGTACACACACGTTCCAGGTGCACCCAAAGCATGCTGCCGCTCATATGCCATGCCTTCCTTTCCAGGGGCAACTGGATAGGAGAAGCTCCTTACAAGGTGGGGAGACCGTGCTCTGCCTGCCCACCCAGGTATGGAGGCCTCTGCAGCAACAACATGTGCTTCGCGGGATTCCAATCCAACAAAGTGAGCGGGCTCTGAGCCTCGGAGAGCTCTTCCCGGCAGCTGGAGAAGTAGAGCTGCAGCTGGCGACAGGAGCGCGAGGGAAATGCTATGGACAATGTTGTGCAAACTAGGGGAATTATTTATAACTGTGACATTCCAGGCTGCTTCTCCCCAAGCTGCATTTAGGAAGCTTTAGTCAGGAATGGCTCTCAAGAGCTGGCAGCATCTTCCTGTCATTATTCTCTGCTCTCCCAGCTATAGCCTGCTCCCCGAGTGCTGTATAGGGACTGACTGTGCTGTCACCCTGTCTCTGTTGCCCAGCTCCCGAGGGAACGTGTGTGGCGGTTCTCCTATGAGGGTGTTGCAGGTAGGGGGGTATTGCAGGAGCAGTCACACTGAGATGCCTGTCTTGTTCCCAGCTCTAAGGTTCCCCTCACTCGCCTCCTGCTCACATGTAAGGCAGCTGATCATTGTCAGTAGTGCTCAGACTTTCCTCTCATCACCCACGGCCCTGCCAGGGCTGAGCAGGCAGGGAGGTGACACCACATACGGGCCCACGACCTTCCTTGTCAGTGGCTATCGCCTCTTTGGCAGAACCCTACAATAAACGTCTCTTGGGACCAAGATGCTTGTGCCTGTCTTTGCTGGTGGCCCATTCCCGGGAACATGCCCTGGCAACACAGAGGCCTCGTCGTCCTCTTTGGAGCTAGACTCCACTTGTCATAGTACAGATGGTGCTGGCAGAGGGTCTCCTGCCAGACACATGAGGGGCACCCAGCCACCAACCTGCTTTTGCAACCCCCCACCAGCTCCATTTCCAAGGGTGGCTCTTGCAGCAGCCTGGTGGAGATGCCTGGTACTGAGCTCCACCTTGTGGGGGAAGGAAGGCATTGCAGTGAGGTTGACTCAGAAGTGCATCAAAAGGATCTTTCCTAAGGCTATGTCCAGACTGCAGCCTTTTGCCCGCAGAGTATGCTAATGAAGCGCTCATTAGCATTTGTCACGCTGTCGTTTGCATATCCTCTGTGGCTTTTTGTGCAAAAACAAGCAGTGTAGATGGGTTCGTTTTGCACAAAAAACCCTTTTGCACAAGAACCTTATTCCTCCAAAAATGAGGATTTTAGGTTCTTGTGCAAAAGGGTTTTTTTGTGCAAAATGGACCCATCTACACTGCTTGGTTTTGGGCAAAAAGCCTCATCAGAAAATATGCAAATGACATCACAACAAATGCTAATGAGCACTTCATTAGCATACTCTCTGCTGACAAAAGGCTGCAGTCCAGACGTAGCCTGAGTCTCTTGTTTTTGGCTAGAGCCAGATGGGAGAGTGGACAAGGCTGGGAAGAAGAGCTGCTTGCAAGCCTTGCAAGCGCCCGCAGAGCAGGCATCGTTTCTTCCTGGCTAGCGTAACTCCCCGTGTCCTGACAATGAACTTCACTGACCCAAAGGCTCAAATGCATGAACTGCCAATTTGCTTGTTTGGTTGGGTGAGGAGGGCTCTTTTCTCCAGTCAGGACTCCCGCACAACAGCATGTGTGCTAGGAGGGGCTGCAAGCACTTGGGGGGCAGGATTGGAATTGAAAACGACCTCAACAAATCGAAGAATCAGTCTGAAATCAACAAGGTAAAAGTCGATACAGACACGCGCAAAGTACTCTGGTTAGGAAGGACAAAAAAATCAGCTTCTCTAGAAACTGGGGGATAACTGGCCAGGCAGTAGCACTGCTGAAAAGAGTGTGGATCATACATTGAGTCTGAGCCACCATGTGATGCTGTTACAAAAAAGACAAATCATTCTGGGGGTGTATTAATAGGCATGTCGTATGCAAGTCATGGAAGGTCATTTTCCCTCTCTACTCAGTATTGGTGAGTTCTTCGCTGGCGCAGGATGTCCAGTTCTGGGTGCTGCACTTTAGGAAAGATGGGGACAAACTGGAAAGAGTCCAGAGGAGAGCAACAACAGTGATCAAAGGGTTTAGAAAACCTGACCTTTGAGGAAAAGTTAAAAATTGGGCATGTTTAGTCCTGAAAGCTACTCAGACTAAGTGGGGACTTGATAACCCTCTGGGTGTTCAGGGCTGTTATAAAGAGGGCTGTGATCAATTGTTCTCCATGTCTGCTGACCGTAAGACAAGAAATTAAGAGCTTTAGCTGCAGCAAGGGAGATTTACGTTAGATATTAGGAAAAGTTTTCTAACTATTGGGGTTATGTGAGCTCTGAAAAATAGGCTTTCAAGGGAGATTGTGGACTCCCCATCTTTAGAGTTTTTTAAGGTGGGTAAACAAACTCATGTTGGGGATGATCTAGGTTTACTTGGTCCTGCCTCAGCACAGGGGGTTGGACTTGCTGATTTCTCCACGGCCCTTGCAGCCCACATTTCTGTGACTCTATGGGTGGGAGTGAAGGAGCCAGACAGTCTAGCAAGGAAGAGTTCCCCTGTCCTGGGAGCATGGAGTGACTCAACCATCCGAGAGCTGGGCACATGGAGGAGTCAGGAGCCAGCCAGGAGTGCAATGCTGGCAGGGACTCCAATGGCACATTGCATGAACCCACTGGCCTATCCACTTGGCAATGCGAGGGCCAACCCTAGGCTATCAGTGCAATGAGTGTGTCTCAACCAGTGATCAGCGAGGGCCTCTCCTCTGCACACATGTGTGGCTAGCAGCGAGTGACTCTTCCATGCCTCCTGAGTCGCTGTGCAACAACTTCAGGCCGAAGGAAAAGTGTCAGGGCAGTGGCCATGGAGGGACAGATAATGGTGTTAGGCAGCAAACAAAGGGCAGTGCCTCTTTTATCCACAGGGACAATAGGAAGAGTCAGCCCAGCCGGCGGAGGGCTCAGCAGAGTCCGGCTTGCTCTGGAGGTTGTGGGGAAACCCTCCTGTCAGTTCTTTGATGCATGATAAGCCAGCCAGACCCTATGGCTGGAGCATAGCATCTGGTTTCCCCCTTTCCCCACTGGACCAGGAAAGCCCAGCAGGAGCATTTCTGGCCACCAGCCCGCTCCCCTCGTGCTTCTGGCCTGAAGAAAGGGAAGGAAAGGGGGGAAGTAATGCAAAGCAAAGACGGTAAAAGAGAGACTGTACCAACTCTTCCCCCTAAACTGCAGCCCCACAGCCTCCATATCATACCCCTGACCTCCTATTGGGGGGACCTGCCCATCACACAGGCCAGCCTCTGGGCTGCAGGAGACACCCTCTCTCCTAGTAGAGCAGGTATGGGCAAAAGGGCTTCCATGCACTGCATCCGGCCCCGCAAGGGGGTTGATCCGGCCCGCGGAGGCTCTGCTGCTCCCCAGCCCTCAGGCCAATCAGTGCCTGGAGCCGGGGGAGTGTGTGAAGCTTCCTCCCGCCCTGCGAGAAGCTCTTCGAAATACTGCGCGCTGCTCACAGAACAGGAGACATCACACGCTCCCCCACCCCCAAGTCCTGATTGGCCTGGGGACAGGAGGAGCATGCGAAGTTCCCTCCCCTCCCCCAGCCCTGTGAGGGGCGCATAACACTTCAAAGTGCCATACACTTGTGCATGGCAGGAGCAGGGCAAGGGAAGTTTGGCACTGTCCCCCCGCCCCCAGGCCAATCAGGGCCTGAGGGCGGGGGAGCGTGCGAAGTCTTCTCCCGCCCTGCCAGGAGCGAGGCCAGAGCAGAGAAAACTTTGCATTCTCTTCCACCCCCAGGCCTTGATTGTCCTGGTGGCGGGAGAGCACACAAAGCCTCCTCCAGCCCTGTCAGGAGCCTGGGGCGGGGGCGCCACTTCAAAAATTTTTGAAGTGGCCTCCAGCCAAAAATTATTGCCCACCCCTGTAGTAGATGGAGGCACTCCACCCCATCCACCCCTCCCTCACCTGCAGAGGCCTCCATAGGAGGCCCATCAGAATCATAGATTCATAGAACCATAGAGCTGGAAGAGACCTCAGAAGGTCATCAAGTCCAGCCCCCTGCTCTAGATAGGACCAATCCCAACTAAATCAACACGGCCAGGGCTTTGTCAAGCCGAGACTTAAACACCTCTAGGGATGGAGACTCCACTACTTCCCTAGGTAACCCATTCCAGGATCAGATGCTCCTGCCCCAAATTCAAAGGCCACTCTAGCATTCCCCTGGCCTCAAACTACAGGTCCCCCCCCCCCACGGCAGACACATTGCCCCCCAAACTGGCGGTCTCGCCCCCCTCCCACACCTTGCTCCAGGCTGTGCGGGCCCTTCCATCATTCCCCTCCAATAGCTAGCACAGAGAGAGGTGGACAGCAAACAGTTTCTCCTTTTTGCTGGTCCCTCCTAGCCTTTACAGCCCTGGGGCTCTCTCTTCCCATCCAGGGAGAACATGGCATCAAAACCACTGATAGTCATTAACTCGGGACAAGAACATGTCACGCCGTGTGGCTTAGCAGGACCCCAGAGCTCCGCAGGACTCCGGGGCTTCTGACAGGCCCCATCTCTCTATCCCCCCTCTGTTCCAACCGCCTCCCCAGCTCCACTGTGCCCCCCGTGTTCCTGGCACCTCGGGCAGGAGTACTGCAAGATTTCTGAGGCTGAAGTTCCCTGAACGCTCTAGCCTCAGGCTGTGGTTAAGCAGGCCTAGGTGGAGTTGAGATGCTCCAATCCCGCCCAGTGCAAGCGCTGTGAATGCTCGGTTTGGCTTGCTGGAGCCCTCGGTTTAAGCAGGGTGCTTATGCCATGCTCATGGTGCTTTGCAGGGGCTCTCTGGGTCATCTCCATTGGTCAGCTCAAAGCTCTGACTACCAAAGCTGAGGAGTAGGAAGGGAAGCCCATGGGGACCCTTGGTGCCTGGCATAGGGCAGCTGTGGGGCTCTGGTGCTCTGGAGTGCTGGGGATACACCGCTGAGCAGAAAGCTGCTGGTGGTACGTACTGATCAGAGATCATGCTGTTGTTTTCTACAGGGTGAGCACTTACCACTCTAGCTTGCCATTTTACATTGTGGGGAGTGGGGGGGATGGACTGAATCCTTTATGTGCAAGCTGATTGCTTTCTTAACTCAAGCCTGGCCTCCCCAGCTCCCCCACAGCATCTCAGCACCACCAACAGCCCCTAGCCTGATGGTTTTGGTGCAGCTAGATAGCCTGGCCCGGTGATGCACCCATGAAAGATTACTTGGATGCAGCACACTCAACCTACCTCTCCCCAGGTGCCAAGCAAGGCACTTCTGTGTAGAACAGGGGGGCGTATCCTAGGGGCTCTGCTAGGAGCCCAGACACTGCACCCACAGACCAGGTGATGCAAAGTGCCTGGCAACCGTTGACAAGGTGCAGCCCAAGGTCGAGTGTGCTCCAGTCAGCGGCGGTGAGAATGTGCACCTGTGGATTACAAAGTGCTGCGCGCTGAGAGAACTTCCTGGTCTCTGTGAGGGAATACACAGGAAGTCTGGGCCTTGAAGCTGGGAGCAGGAGGCAAAGAAAGAGGGGGTGGTTGACTCCTACTTGGTTCCTGGTGGCTTGGCTGAGGGAGACTGGTGGGGGGTGTTAGAAGGGGAGTACCTGCAGGGGCCAATGCAGAGCATGTTGGGGAACCTCAGCCTGGTCCCCCATGTTGTGTAAAAGCCACAGAGCAGGCTC